TTACGGCAGCGGCTGAATCAGGACGCCTGGGGCAGAGCAGCTGGGGTGCTGCCGGGTTGGTCCAATAGTGCCCAGAGCGGCTGCGGCTTTGCTCCCGGTGTCTCTGGTCTGCTGGAGACGGTCCCCAGCAGACCAGGGGCACCGGGAGCAGCTTTTCTCGCCCCAGAGGTCGAGGTGGCGGGACCGCTGCCTGCGAGCTCCGGGGCGAGAAAGCCCCGTTCGTAAGTGCGGATCCGACGTAAGTCGGGGACTGCCTGTATAAGCAGCAACCAGTGGAGGTAAGATTTGAATTCATAGTGTCCTGGCTCCAAGATGCATCTTCCCATGTGGTAAAAAGGGTGTTGTGATATATGGGGGAAGGGAGTTCTCTCCTTACTTCCACAGCCTCAGTTGCTTAATTTGTCACTACAAGAACAGGCCCAATTTGATTCATCTGAAATACTGGATGTTCCAGAAAATATAGTACATTTTAGACTTTTAGAGCATGTCTTTTAGCTGTTTTGTTCTGGGAACATATGCAGCTGGAAAACCCAGTGAGATAGCTACCTAGGGATTTCCTGTTTGAAGGGGAACCTCCTGAATGGTGCAGAACTGGCACAGTGTAGGAATGTCACAATGCTGTTAATTAGGTAACCGTGTAACCAGTGAAAATCGTAGCTATTATACGGTCACACGCTGCGGCTTATGCAGTATAAAATGTATACTGCAGAGTTCACAGTGTGGGGCAGCAGCTGGCTTCCCAGGAGCCAGTGTGCACTGGAAGTCATATTTTAAGCTGGCTCCCAGTGTGTACCAGCTCCTGCCAGCTGGCCCTTCTCCAGGGAAGCCAGCTGCTGCCCCACACTGCTGCCTCTGTATCAGCAGCAGCAGCACAGGTCAGCAGCCAGCTCCCATCTGCAGCTTCTCGCCTGGGCCTGCTCCCAGCTCTTGTCCCCACTCCTAGGGAGCATGGGTGGTTGACAAATACCTTTGATGTCGACCCCCACGCATCCAGACTATCGCGCTGAGCCGACAAACAGCTGATCAGCTGTTTGTCGGCTCAGGGTGGCAGCCATGTAAATTTAAATGAAGCAGCGATTATTTAAATCGCCGCTTCATTTTCCTATGTCTGGTAGCCTAATCTACATGCCTCTGGCGACCGAGGCATGTAGTCTAGACGTACCCATAGTCTCTACAGCACTAGTAGTTGTTTTTTAATTTACCATGCTAGTCTACAGGACCTTCGTTTAAAAGTTTAAATATTAAGTATTGTAAAATATTTCATTAGTGTGTTGCTGCAGATTATAAAAACACATCTCTAAAAAAGCATCATTCTCCGCCCCCATCAGGCACAGGAGCACCAGTTTAACAGCTGTGTATGTAGGGACCCATACATCCTAAGGACGGGCCTGGAAGGGGGCTTTGTGCTCAAGCCTTAATCGGCACCAGTTTAGAGTGCAGTGTAGATATCACCCCCCCTCCCCCTCCCGGCCTGGAATCGTGAGCCCGAGTGCCCAGGTCCCTCCCACAGCCTACTCTAAAGTCCCCGAGCCTGACTCACTGTCACACGCGTCCCCTCCCACCGCCCAGGCCTCCTACTCTCCCCATCAGCGCACGGATCAGGTTCGCATTCCAGCGCCCCGACGCCTGTACCTGGGTCACCGGCCCCCCGCCTAGCTCGAGAGCGTCTCCCCGCCTAGGGGCGGACGTGCCCCGGCTCGGCGGCGGGAGAGCCTCCGCCCTCACAGGGTCGGGGGGGGAGGAGCCCACTCGAGTTCCGCCTCAGCAGCTATGGCCGCGTAGAGTCTCCTCCGCGGTACTGCTCGGACATGGGCCTGCCCCGGGCCGGCAGCCTGAGGCAGCGAGTCTCCGCCGCGGTGAGTACGTGCCCGGCTGCCGAGCTTGAGAGCAAAAAGGGAGCGGGAGGCCCGGATGGGGAACGGCCTCTTCCTCTGGCCTTAGAGCCGTGCGGCTGGGCTGTCGGGGCTGGCAGGGCTCCCTTCGCAGCAGCCCGGGGGCAGATAGGTCCTGGCGGGGGCACCGCGTTCCTGGACTCCTCACGCCGTCGGGGATTGCCCAGGGGGAATCATGCGGACTGTTGAGGGAGAGGGACTCCGTGTGGGAGGATGGGGGATAGGAGGAGAGAAGGGCTGTCGTGTTGTGTCCCGAGGACCTGCAGGACAGGAGGAGGTTGTGGCGTTTTGGTTAGAGCAGAGACTGGTATCCAGGGATGGGAGGGTTCCTGTCCCTGACTGCCAGTAACCTGTTCCTGTGACCGTGCCACTTTTTCTCTTCAGCCTCAGTTTATCAGCAGGTAAAATGGAAATAGCTCTGGCCACTTGATCAGGAGGCTTATTATCTGTAAAGCTCGGTGTGAGTTTCAGGTGAAGTGTGGTGTGGAAACACCAGTTATGATTGACTTATATTTTGCTACATTCATATTGCATGTGAAACTTTCATACTGGCTAAAGTATTCAGATTTATAGTTTTGGGAACTGTCATGGCGCGATGTCTATTCTGATAATAAGTCTGGGGGTGCCCACAACTATGTCAAGAGGATATTGTCAAGTTTAATTTTTCACTTTTAAGGGGCTTTGTATTAACATTTCAGAAATTAAAAAAACAAAATAACTTTAAAAGTATTTAACTCTCTACCACTTCCTGTGTGTGTTTTTTTTGTACTTCACTCAATTTGGAAAAATATCAAAGTTAGCCAGTTTCACTTTTCTGGTTCCCATATTTGTACGGTACCTTTTCACCGAATGTTTTCTTTCTCTTTTTTAATAGTTTGATTTTGTAAACTATTGTATACACATCTAATTTTCTGTTCTAACCTATCTGACAACATGTATTCATCTAGCAATTAAGCAAAGAGCTTACTCAAAAGTGCTAAATAGAGTGCTTTTGAACCATTGATATAAGCTCTGATCCTGGGATCTGAAATATGTATGGAGATCAGTAGGTCTCTGCAGTGAAGGACCATATACTCATGTGGCATTCCAACTGGAATTGATCTGTGTGTGTCAGATTGTGTAACTGTGCCATAAAGACCATCTCTAAAATTACACTAATTCTAAAAATTTTAGGAGTAAATAAATCTAATCCCAAGAAAACAAGACCAAATATCTGCATGCAGAATGTAGGTAGTAAACTTAACTTTTAAAACTGTCAGAAGCCTGTCTCACATTTATTGCTTCCTTGGACATTAAATGTGTATAAAAAGATCAATACTTAACTACATACCTGAACATGACATGCAATACTTGGCACGTCTGACTAGTTCAAAAATATAATACAAAGGCAGTCATGTTGCAAGTAGCAATTGCCATTATTTCCAGTGGTAATTATAGTAATTGGTTACTCATATCCTCAGTAAACACAATCATGTTAATTATGCATAGATTATCTAGTATATTTTAACTCTGACTGCGCAAAGTCCAGTTGTTTCAAATATTTCTATTAGTAATACCCAAATTTTCCTGAGGTTTTGGCAGTGTACTAAGTACCTGCAATTCCCACTGTATACCTCTCTAGATCAGGATCTAGAAGATTAACAATCTTCAGATGTGGATTTGGCGTCAAGTGTAATACTCCATCTCCAAATTAACAAGTCTAAAGATAAGTTTTACAGATTTCTGTGTCTGTCAGCAAGTCTGTTTGTTCAAGAACTTCTCCTAAAATGTAAGAGCTAAGAACACCAAATTTGGTATGCAGCTTCCTCTTATCCCAACTTAAATCAAGGTCAGGGTTTGGTTGTGCCAGGAATTTGATTGTTTTTCATAACATAGAAAGTGATGGGGCTGACCTGAGGAAGGCTATACTTGCAGTCATAACTGGGGGCAGCGAGCCCAGGGGATGCAGATGTTTAGTTTTAGTGGACTTTTAAGTCATTTGGTTAAACCAAAATTTAGTTTCCTGATAATAATAGATGAAATACTATTTCCAAAATGAAGTGAAAAATTTTCTATGCAAATATTTGTTGATAAATATTGACATTTCCTTGTTAGTCCCCTAATTAGCCTCCTAGTTTTTGCTGTATTCATGTCCACCAATATGGAAACTTGAAGTCACTCAGAAAAACATAAAAATTGGAATATTATTTGAATTAAATATGACAAAAATATTAGTACAGCTCCTGTGGATATTATTAGAGATTTACCTGGCATTGCTCAGGGCTGGCGGGAGAGGGGTGCAGAAGTCAGGATAGGGGTTTGGGGATGTGGGGGACTCAATGCAGGGGGTTGGTGCATGGGGGTGCAGAAGAAAGGGTCAGGAAGTTCTCAGAGAAGGGTGTTGGGCAAGGGGGGGGGAAGGGAGAGTGAGGGTTCCGGGGTGAGAAGGCTCAGGGCAGAGAGCTGGAAGGTGTGAGGGGTCTCACCAGGACTGTCTGGAGCTGGGAGGGTGCATTGCTCCAGTGACAGTGGCTTCCTGTGGCACTCAGGGCCATGCTGCTAGTGGCTTCTTCTGGAGAGGCTGGGGCCACACTGCCTGGACCCAGATGCCCACTCCTCGGGGTGCAGGGGGGGCTGTGCTGCTGGCGCTGGCTGGTAGCAATATAGAGAGCCTTGGCCCTAACAGGCCACTCTTCCTGCTCTGGCTGCTTCCCTGTGATCACTCTACAGTATAAGTGTCCCCTACTCTCACTTCCCCCTGTGATCATTGTGGACCGTAACTATCTCTTGCTCTTCCCATCCTTTCTGTATTAAGGAAAACAATTTGATTCCAGGCATATCCTGTTTTCCTGGTACAACCAAACCCCGCCCTTAGGTTTGGATAAAAGAAAGCTGCATGCCAAATTTGGTGGTCCTAACTCCTACACTTTAGGAGGAGTTTTTTAACAAATGAATGGACAGTCAGACACAAACTCTAAAGTGTATATATAGATAATTTTTAAATTTAGTTTTACTTTGTCCCTAAATTTTCAATATGCTGCAGTAACAACAGTATCAAACTGAATTGTCAGAGTTGAAAGAGGGAAGTTCTATCATGTAAAGGCTCAATCTCAAAAGATGTTTAATCTTACTACTGGGAATAATCCCTTTGAAATCTTTCAAACTATTCATGATAGTAAACTTAGGGACATGTGTAAATCGTCACAGGATTGGGGCCTAGGTAGGTTCTTTCCACTTGAGATGACATTGGAGGGAGGTTAGGATAAACAGACACTCAATTGGATATCTTAAGAGGACCAGCAATTAAATAGTAAATATGGATACTTTTTTTTCCCTTTAAGTGTTAAACATGTAAAATGAGTACAGGTTGGACCTCCCTGGTCCAGCACCCTCAGTACCTGACCCATTCCAAAAGAGGAAGTTTACTAGATCAAAGAGGTCCCTTGTCACCAGCTTCCCACAATGCTCCCTCTCCCTGCTGCTGGCTCTACTCTGGTGCACTGCCACTGGGCTCCAGCCCGAAGCCCCTTAGCTGCCACGGCCCCATTTCTACCGTGCCCCACCAGGGCTCTGTAGGGACAGGGCTTGCCAACTGCCTTCTTCTGCCATGTGCTGGCTCCCCATTCCCACTGTTGCTCAGCCAGGCCAGGGCTCCCCAAAGATGGAGCTCTCAGCTGGTTCACACTCCCAAGCGCCAGGGCTCTCTGGTTCAGCAACATCCGTCATCCTGCTGGACACGGACGTTGCCGGACCAGAGAGTCCTGGATTTAGGAGTTTCAATTTATCATTTACAGGCCTGAGAGCTATTGTTTTATGGAGACTCAGGTATACTTCATTGATTTACACCTTATCTACATTCTGAGTGTTTTTGCTGGCTTAACTTTATCAACTTAGTTAAAATCCATCAAAATCCATTTAGTATAGATGCAGATTATTAGCATTAGAGTGCTTATATTGCTATACCTTATGGTTTCGTGGTGACTGTTTTGAGAAATGTCACACCTTTAACAAGCATAACTATGTCAGCAAAACTTTTGAGTGGTAATAGGGCTGAAAGTAACTTAAATTTTTACAGGCACTGCCCTAGGGCAAATACCCCCTCCCCCCCTCCAGACAGGTGGTTGGGGAGAGGGTTGTCATAGGATGGTACTTGTAAGGAAATTGAAGTATGGGATGGAGTGCAGGGAGCAGTGGGCAAGGTGCTGTGCAGGAATGAGGGCAGGAGATTGGGGATGGCTTGGTCTGGGCTGCTGCTTCCCACAGCTCACCTTGGCTAGCAACAGTGAACCGCAGTCAGTGGGAGCTGCAAGGTTCTGTGCCTGTGGACGTTTAGATGAATAAAATGTGGCTTGGCCCACCAGCAGCTTACCTGGACAGACCTGCAACCCAACTTTGAAAACCCCTAGCCTAGAGAATCTGGGCCACTGTGGGGAGCGCTGGACCTTTCATTTACCCTGGGTAGCACACTGGGGGTCAGAGATAAAGGCTGGTGGTACTCTCTGGCACCACAGCCCCTGGTCCAGGGCTTCTCAGAGTGGCTCAGGCTCCTTGGGTGGCTCTTACCACAGCCTGGCTTCAGCATCCATCCTGACTGGAGGATGGAACCCTGGAGAAGAGGAGGTGGGGGAGTGGGGAGAGCCCCTGCATGTGTTCCACTTTTGCCTTTTGAAAAAGGTTGTCACCTACATGAAGGCTTGTCTGAAATTAGTTTGAAATTTCAATCAATTTCCTACCAGACAAATAAACAAAAGATTAATAAATAGAAGCAAAACAGCATTCCCTCCAATATAGTTTCAAGCGCAATGGCAGGGAAGTGTAGGGACATACATAGATACTGGAAAGGTAGCAGCTCTAATCTGTGAATCTATCAAAGATTTGTGTCTTCGCACCTGTCAGTCTGGGACCTTTTGCATGGGCTAATTACATAAATATGTAATTATTAGAACAGCTAATAGTATGTCATGCATTACTTTACAATTGAATTT